AAAATAAGGACACCTATATTCAAGAAAGAAAACAACTTCGAGAATTAAATGCACATACTACTTCAATATAAAAATATAATTGAAACACTCAAAGAAAAGATAGAAATACCTGAAAAATTATGAACACAACTTGACACCAACATCATTGAAGTACACAAGCAAGGACTAACATTTATATATTGGAGACTCAACACAAAAGAATATAATTACCCAAATCTTGAACAACAAATATACAAATACCTTATTAATCCAAATCCAGACATATCTGAACAAATACAAATAGTGTACTTGAAAAACTTTCTAGACCCTCAACTTGAAGAAGAATACTTATTCTTTGAAAATTTTGAAAACCTAAAAACAATCCTAAAAGTTAACTATAATATATTAAGACCAAGATATTTTAAACATAAACAAACTGAATTAATTGAACTACCAATTGAGGAAAACCAACAAGAAACATTACAACGAATATTAGACAACCTCCCAAGGACGAAATATACAAATATTACATCCTTACTGAAAGAATTAATAAATCAAGAATACCTTAATCGAAAAGAAAAAATATTAGAAATAATTACTGAAATCGACAAAATACTTTTATGAATTACCAAACAAAACAAATAATTTGTATAATATCACGAAATATAGCAAGTAAAATCTAACATAGATTTCCAAACCAAATAAATTATACTTATAACCCACAAACAAGAAAAGTAGAAACACGCTTAAATATTTTAATCTAATCGTCAACTTTCCAACTATCTACTTTTGGAAATAACAATTCAGCAGACCCAACAATACTAGTAGAATTAGTACAAGAAATACAACATTTTATTAAACAACTACCAAAAGTAACAAAAGAATACGTCCAACAAAACGTTTTAACAAAACTATACATTTGTGAAATGTATCAAGACTATTTTAACCTTGAAGAAGAATTAAATACTTTAATACTCACTACACCTTTAATTGATGATCAACCTACACTTTAGAATTTTAGGAATAAAAACTATTTGCACACAATTTAAAGCAGCATTGTCAACCAGAAGAACTGTACATACAGAAGAAGACAAACAACTCTACCGAAATATAATAGAAAACAGCATTAGAACTCTAGCAACAAGAGTACAAGAAGAAGATATACCATCAGAAATATCAACCCGAATACAAAACATATTTAATAGATTACCACCTGCAAACGATCAATTACCAGACTTACAATGATTACTGGCCACTAGAATTGCCATCAGCAATACTACAAATTGAACAATTAATAATCTAAGTAGAAACTTGGATAATATCAAATCCAATTATAAATTTATAAATGTCATCAATATTACAATCACTAGAAAAATACAAAAGAGATCTAAATAATTCAATAGAAGTATTATTAAACAACTTTGAAGATACTCCGTATTATAAATTTAAATACGAATATATACAAAAAACCAAGGATAAAACACCTTATCCAGAAGACCAATTTCACTCCAGACAAAAGAATCAAAACATAGATATCTTAAAACAAAGGCAATCTTACGATATAAGACGAGATATCTAACGAATATTACAAAACTTAGTTGATAGAATAAACCCAACTGACAACAAAAAACTAGGCGCAACTCTTAAAGCTATCGAATCAGTACTAGTAATATCA